AAATAAACAATAACACCTTTGTATAATAAGCCATTAAAAACTTGATTCATAAGCCGTTGGAAAGTAGCCGGAGCGTTGGTTAACCCAAACGGCATTACTGTAAATTCATAAGTTCCTTGCTTCACAATAAAAGCAGTTTTCTCCCTATCACTAGGGTCCATTTCAACTTGCCAGTATCTACTCGCTAAATCAAGAGTGGTAAACCATTTTACACCTTGCATTGCGCTTAACATATCGTCTACACGAGAGATAGGATAAGTGTCCTTTTTTGTAAGGGTATTCACTTTCCTATAATCAACACATAGGTGTTGTTTTTCATTCTTTTTGCCTACAACAACTACTGGGGAAGTCCAAGGGCTAAAGGATTTCACAACTAGTCTTTTTTGTAGTAGTCGTTGAATTTCTTCCTCTATAAATTGTTCTTCAATTGAATTGGAACGGTAAAATCTTTGCTTTACAGGTTTCTTAATCCCAGTATCAATTTTATGTTGAATGATATTCGTTCGTCCTAATTAACTAATATCGGTTACAAACATATCTTGATTCTCTTCAAGTAACTGATTGAATTGTTCTTGCTGTTTAGTACTTAAAGTACCAACATTCAATTCAGTTTCAACTAATGAGTTTCCCATCATTACAGGGATCTCATCCAAAATATCCTTATTATTATCACTATCACTTTCAGATTCTAATTCTGAATTACTTTCTTCATCTTCGGACTCAATAGAATCTGAATTATCACTTTCTGTATCATTTTCAATTTCATTTTCGTTATTATCATCACTTTTATTTTCATTCCCTTCGGAAAAATTTATTTCTTCTTCAGAATATTCAATGCAGTCTTCAAAAGTTTCATCTTCATCATCTTCCTCATTTTCAAAAGATTCATTTTTATGCTAATTATCACTTTCAATTTTTTCATCGGACATTTCACTTTCCTCTTCACTAGTAGTTTCAGGAATTTCTACTAAATTTCCTCTTATTCAGGAGGCAGGTAAAACCAAGTGTTGATTTTTCCATCTTAAGGTTAACTTCTGACTTTGCCAATTATAATTTCCATTGACTTTTAACAGCCAATTATTTTCTAAAATGAGGGTATAGGTAGTTGTTTTAGTTACTTCGACATCAACAGGGATAGTATATCCTGCGACAGTAACTGGAAAATCTCTAATAACTCCTAAGGGTCTAGTACCTTCTCCAACAGCAGGTAGAATCACGCTGTTTGAAGGTTCATCTATGGAGTAACTTAATTGTTTCATTGTGTCTCGAGTAATCATGCTTTAAGCAGCACCACTATTAACAATAGTAGGCACTGTATAACCATCAATATCAATGATACATTTGAGTGAGGTGACTCTGGTCAATATCCTTGGTCAGCTGTTTTTACATCTACTTTTCTAGATACTTTTAAATTCTTCACAAGAGTTCGTTTTATTTCAGGAAGTTGGAGTAATTGAGACCAAGTAATTCCAGTTTCCTGTTTTTGCATTTGTTCAGCAATATCAAATTCTTTTGTACACAGTAATTGGGGTATTTTCTTCTTTTCAGGCTTAGTAGATTTCTTTTTTTCAGGAGATGATTTCTTTTTATTATTCTTTTTAATAGGTTTGATTTTATTTTCAGTTTTGAATTCCTCTTTTCAAAATGGAATTCCAAAAGTATTGACCTCAGGGATTTTAAAGTAATCACCTGTTTGAGATTTCTTTGTTTCCTCATCAGTACTGTTCTCATCTCGTTCACGTTTTTCCAAGTAAGCTTCTAAGAGTTGGTTTAACAATCCTTCCTTTTCACTATCAAGTTCATCATCAGTTACCTCAGCATATTGGACAGCAGCATTTCGTCCGTTATTATTATTATTACTATTATTGTTACGTCTATTGTTATGATTATTATTGTTATTGTAATTATTATTTTGGTTATTATTATTTTGAGAACAGTTACGTAAAATATGTCCTTCTTGTCCACAATTGTAGCAAACAGGTGATTGGTAATTTTGGAAGGGGTTATTATTATAATTTTAATTATTATTATTAAAAGAACGATCATTATTATATGATTGGTTTTGGGGTTGGAAGTTTCAGTTGTTATTATTACTTCTCTGATTTACTTGTTTTGTTAACAAGTCAATTTTTTGTGCCAAATTGATTTGAAGTTTTTCAAACTTTTGGACTAAATCATCCAAGTCTCCTTTTTCCGTTAGCTTCTTTTTCTTAGTCTCTTTTCGTCGAGATTTTTCTTCCTCAGATTTTGACTCAAGTTCTTTTTGAGACCTTCGAGATTTTTTTCGTTTCACTACATCTTCACCTGCTTCATACTTTCGAATAAGGTCTACTGCAGTTGCAATATCAGCAGGGTCATTCATTATAATTATTGGTGCGAGCTCAGGTCGTAAGCCTTTTACAAAATAATGCATTTGGTCAGCAGCTGGTATTTCGGCTATTTTATTAATTTTTCTGATAAGTCGTCTATAAGCAGCATAGTAAGTATCAATGGCTTCGTCACTGTTTTGTCGTAGTTCCTCTAATTCTTGATGCCACTTGTTAATCCATCGGAAGGTACAAAAGAATTCTTTAAAGGTTTAAAGCCATTCAGCCCAAGTGGTAGCAGTTGTCGTTTCACACTATTCCTCTGCGTCATCTCGTAAATGAGCTTTTAGCATAGTGACTTTTCAATTATTATCCCAATTATTTATTCGAGCGGCTTTTTCAAAGTCCTCCATCCACTTTAAGAGATCTTGTAATCCATCACCATAGAAAGGTTCTACTCTAACTGTAGTATCTCCTAAGTTTCGTTGTAAGTAAGTTAATATATGTTAATTAGTAGTCATGTTGTTATTGTTGTCTTGGTTGTGGTTATAATTGTTGTGATAATAGGTGGAAGAATTATTATCGTTATCAAAGTTATAAATATTGTAATCAATGTCGTTGTTATCAAATGGTTCGACTTCCTCTTTTTGTTTACGCTTTTGTTTAGAGGTATTAAATTTGAGTGTTGATTGTTTTCGAGTTTTTAATCGTTGTGGTTCTCTGGCAAAAGAATTGTTCGAATAATTAGATGTAGTAGTTGATTTGGGTTGACCAAAGTATTCTCCTTGTCTTATCCTTTGTTGCAAGTGGGATGTCCTTTCAGACCAAGTACTAGAACTAGATCCTTCGGCTATTACTGGGTTAGGTTGACTAGAAGGATAGTGTGATTTGGAGGAGCTAATAGATTTGTTTCGACTAATGGTATTTCTGATTTTTCTTTTGGAGTACTTGATTCAGTCTCTATGGCAGTATCTTGAATATCTATTTCTTCTAACAAGTCTACAACAGTAGAAAAAGGTTTGGATTTTGTTCTCGGTCAGGTGTGTTTTGAAATTATAGGGGATTTAGTTGTTGATTTAGTTTTTGTAGTAGCTGAGGATGAAATCTTATCAGGCTCGTCAGCCTTTGGGGACTGCGTAGTAGAGTCTTGTGGTGACGTCACAATGAAAAGTGGTTGTGGTGTAAAGATAGTTTGTGAGAAATCTTCTGGTGTACTTGAAGCTAATTGCTCCAATCGTTTTGTAACGTGAGTAATAAGGGATTCAGTGAGTGGTATCTTTTTACTCAAAACTGTCAATTATTTATTTATTTAAGGTGCTTATAGAATATTAATTTAAAAGGGAAAAATTTTCTTTTAATTGGTTTAGGTCACTTAAAATTTGATAGCAGTTATCTTGGATTTGAAAAAGTAAATTGTATTGGTCTTTAATTTTGCATAATTCTAAAAGGACTTCTAATTTCCATACAGGTTCTTCTGATTCAGATATTTGATCGACTATATATTTTATCTTTTGTTGATAAAGTTCTGCAATTTTTTCGATGATTTTATTAAATTCTTGAATTTGTTCAGTATTAATCATAGAAATAAATTACTAATACCAAAAAGTGTAAGATTATGATTTCTAAAATTATGACTAACTAATTAAGGTCTTTGCATCGAAGGGTAACTAACCAAAAGAAGATAAATTATAAAATACTATATTAGGGTTATCAAAATAAGGGATAAGATAATTATAAAAATTTTGATTTGTTTCCGCTAGAAGGCACCAAATTGTTACTAGTTGACCTTTTGGGCTAATTTTATTTTCCAAAAGGTAATTTACAACTAGCAACTCGTAAACAGTTACTT